TTCAGTGGGTAGCCACATCTTGATTTAGTAACAATTCTTATCTTCTTGTCTACAAAAAACATCATTGCTAACATCAGAATTTGAATAGATAATTTTCATGAAAGTTTTGAAAAATTTTCTTAGTTCTAACAAAACAAGAATGAGGTCATTTGGACTTCTAGAAATCGAGATATGTGTTGAACACTGAATAGTGTCTGGGTTGTAAGACAAATTCGGACTTCTCTTTTGATGCTAATATTTGAACTTCCAAACGGCAGAATTAAGTCTTGAACTCTTATGAATTTTTTAGGCCGATTTCTTAGCTTTCTAGCCATATAAACCAAACTGAAATCCAAAATCTACAACTCCAGATATGAACTAATTACTGAATAGTGTTTCAATTTGAATTGAATCAACATTTCTTTTCTAAACTTAGCCTTTTCTTTGTCCTTTCACTTTCAATATTTAATCACACCAATCAATCCTTTGAATTGTGAGATATATCTGCATTTAAAATAAACATTTACCATAAATTAAAGCTATATTATATTATCAGATTTGTTATTATAAAACATGCTTAAGTTAGGGAATTTGATGATACTTTAAGTGTAATATGATGATATAAAACCTTAATGAGAATGCACTTTTAAGTACTAATCACATGTTTTTTTTTATCAAAAGCTAATAAAGAGTTTGAGATGCCTCTATAAAATATCTAGGGTTTCAGGTTGGGTTCTTTACTGGTTAGGAACCTGGGTGTCCTATTGATATCTACCAAACTGACACACACAGATTGTATGCCTTTGGTAAAGTAAATTCTTTCAAAGATCAAATTTATGTTAAGTGTTTTCAACTAATCAAAATAATTCTTTTATCTATCAAGGTATATTGGTCCTCCATGTTTATTTTTTCTTACTCTATTATTAAGAGGATTAAAGGTATCCTGGTTGTATTTCTATGGAAAGTTTGCTTTCTTTCACACTCAAGGGATGAAGTCATCTGGGTTTTTCTTTGTTATCCCTTAAAAGAGGGTGGCTTAGGAATTAAGAGGGTTATAACTTATAATAGAGTAGCTATTCTTGAACACTTTTGGAGACTTTTTTTTATATAGATCTTCAATTTGGTCGAGATAGGTCCACAATGTTCTACTCAGAGGTAAATCTTTATAGCATATCAGACCTTTTTCAATGTCTTTTTGGTCATGAAGGAAGATTCTTCACAATAGAGATTGGTGTAGAGGGAAGTTTGTTTCATATATTTGTGATGAGGCTATTACTTCTCTATGGTTAGACTATTAATTTCTACATAACAATGATTTTGTAACATCTTGCCTTTCAGGTTGCTAACATCTACTAAGCTCCCCTAGAATGTTAAATTTTCAGACATCATTGAAGAGGGTACTTGAGTCTTTTCATTGAGTAGTTTAGAGCTTCAGCCTATTTTAGACTCATTTCACATTCACCTTGTGAGTGATTTACCAAACCATTATGTTTGGAAAGGTCATTCTCTAGGGAGGTTCTTAGATAATCGAGACCTACAAGCTCTATACACCATCTATTTAAGTTTCCAGGATTCATCTCGAGGCATTTTGATTAGTACTTAAAAGTACATTTTTTATCAAGGTTTTATGTCATCATTTTGCACTTGAAGTATCAATAACTCCTTAACTAAAGCATGTTTTATAATAATATATCTAATAATATAAGATACCTTTAATTTATGGTAAATATTCATTTTAAATGCAGGCCTATCACATAAATGAAAGAATTGATTGATGA